AGAAGGATACACATATTTGAACTTCCCCAGAGAGAAGCAACCAAAACGGCAAAGCCACGCACCCAGGCTAATCAATGAAAATGGTAGCTCAAAACACAACTCATGAAAGAAAATGGGGAAAGCTAGCACGCAGAGGAGCTGTGCAAATCAAAGGGCTGAGATTTACCATGGCAAGCTGAGGTTGACCACATGGTCTAAGTGTTTGCATAGTTCGGGTTTTCCCCGCCGTATGTGGGGTGCCCCCAAGTAGTGTAGTATCCGAGTCGTTCGTGTCCGAACTAAAACTCAGAAGGATGTTCTGGGATCAGCGGAGTGACCGTTCTCGAGGAGGTGGTCTGCGATAAATAAACGAGGGGCAACGGTATAGAGAAGGACCCCACTTAACTGTCAGTAGACTGTGGGTAGCGGCATACGTGATTTATGGTAAAGGGAGTTTTATGGGTGGGGCAGCACACAAGACAGTAAGCCGACAAAATGAAAGAAAACACAAAAATTGACTAGATTTATGCCGAAAGTCTTATATCACGCTACTTTACGACAGCGGAAACGAGAGTAGTAATTAAACAGTAAGCAAAAAGAAAATTTCAAAAATAACGGATTTTGAGTTTAGGTGTGAGGTCGCGGGAAGTAATCGCTGTTGGCAGTGTAATTTCTGCAACAACCTGAAAATGTATGCCAAGATAAAACCCCATATGACACGATTCACAGTCTGCTGACAGTTACGTGAGGTCCTTCTCTATACCGTTGCCGAACGAGGAATTTTACTTTTCTGCTTTAGACGCCATTAAAGCAAGTGATTAACTAGCCTGGCCGCCAATTGCCTTTGCGTTGGCCCAATGTACTTGCATCTACAAGTGTATATGAACTCGTAAACACAATTTGAGGTGGCGTGGAATGGCAAGGCATCCTTTGCCCGCAGAATTGGGATAGCTTTAGCAGGACTGCTAAAGATGAGATCGGCTGCGTTGTATGTTGTTTCAGCAGCGTAACTTAATCGCCGCTTAATGGTATCTGAGATGCTGTCACCCTTAAGGGGTGAGGATATTACAACGGACTATTTTAGAACCGATTGTTCTGTCATTTTTGGCCTTAAGGTGTCACTGTAGTTCTGAACAAGGCTGTTTTGTGACAATCAATGTCTCCATCTAGTGTCGCAAGATAGCAAATATTTCTCACTTTTCGGAAAAAAGTGTAAACCAGATTTCGTTTTCATTGTATTGGCAAAAAACTCAGGAAGTGTAGATATTGACGTTTCCATTTATTCTTATGGAAAACCGACCGTCTTATTAACCCTCCTCCTGTCTAGTTATGAGGACGTCCAGGAAAGATAGCTTGTTGCACCGCGCATTTTCCACTGTGAATTTGCTCTTTGGATGGAGACTATTCATGGCAACAAGAAGGTCTTTGGCTTCCTCGTTATTATCAACATTAGCAAATATATAATCCGAATATCCCCTGTACAGTGTTTTCCTGTTAAAGTTAGATAAAAACTATTCTTCTAAGTGACCAATAGAAATTTCGGCAAAGGTTGGACCAAGTGGACTTCCCACTGCTACCCAGCGATAAGTTGCGGTTGATGAGTCGTCGCGAAATTTGTTGGTTCCAATAAATTCTGCTGTATATGCTTGCTGGAAATTCATACTGGGCAATATAGCTTCAAGTTATGAGGCACCTTTAAGAAGTTAACTGTTTTGAATATTCGCTATAGTCGGACGACCACCTAGGTAACCGGTGTCAAAAATTTAGTGAATAAAGTCTGCTACCCTCCCACAGAATTTATCTGACTCTAAGCTGTATTTTTCGAAAGAACGTTAGATTTAATATTCAATCGCCAAATAATTCGGGCTTGAATTCCAAGTTAACCAAATCTGGAGTTGGATGTGCTTGGCTGACGAGAGCTAATGAGTCAGAAGCGGCCATCGCAGTCCTCCTTGTCGTTGAGGAGAATGACATTACCGACAAAAACAAGAGGGACTGGAATGGCCAATTCGGGCTCATTAGTCGTCGTCAGCCAGCCATACCCAACCTCAAACTTTTGCAACCCCTGTTAGAAGTCCAGTACCCTAGCTATTGAGTCCCAGATTCGTCGTCCTGTCGGTTATGGTCGGGTTTATTAACCATGGTAGAGAGACACACACCGATCGCTTTATGGGATACGCCCGTCCTGTTTTGTCTAGGGTCTCGGCCTAGAGCCCAACCAACATTTCGCGTTTTCGAGCCTCAGGGGTTGTGAAAACCGGGGGTTTGGTATGGCTAGTTGATAACGGCGGATAAGCCGGAAGCGGTCATTCCAACCCCCATTGTCTTCTTCGATAATGTTCTTCTATCTATACAACTAGCTGCTGAGCGGCAGCTGGTTAGACTATTCTCCAAAAAACGTCTATGAAAAAGTGCATGACTACATGTTTTTTGGAGGTATGATTGAATATACAGAAGCGCAGAGAGTCACTTGAAAAATGCATCCCTTCTTACTGTTCTCTCTTTCTCTTTCCCTGAGTTTGCTTCACTTGGGTGGTTTTAAAGGTGTCTGAGCAAGTGCATCTGTGCCGTCCTGTAATAATTAATCGGCATCCAAACCTTAAGTTGTCAGATCTGTTTCAAAACATGCATGAAATACTCCATCACTGATTCATGACTTTCGGCGCCAGATACAACAGCCAAGACATGTCGGAAGTACACGGCAGTAGAGTTACCTGTGTTGCTCAGTAAGCAGTATTTAAATCAAGCACTGAATCAGCGAAACATATGAGCTCAAAACACTCCAAATATTATAAAATTAGGTCCA